ATGTGTTTATGTGAGCTTGAACCTGTAGGTGAGTGAGTCTTTCGAATATTGTTCAGAAAATGATCTAAATTCCTGATAAATTAGATGCATTTATTATTAACTGTAGTTATTGGCTAAAATCTATGGAAATGGGATATTTTGTGAGATTTAAATAAGAACAGAATGCAGTGATTTGTAAGTTTTATAAACCAACATGTAACAGAAATATATTAGAAAACATGTCAGATGTTTAAATTGAGATATTTTACTATTTCATAAAAACTATCAGCTTATTTTGAATCTGATTACAGAAACATGTCCTAAAAAGGTGGGATAGTAGAAGAGTCATGAAACAAAAAAATATATAACAAATAAAACTCAAGACTGCCTAACAGCTAAATTCCTATATCAGAAAGGATGGGACATTTTCTCCAAAAAAGTCCAGCAGCAGGTCTCCTCAGTTTGCAAATGAGTAAAAAAAATGAGTAAAAAGATGATATAGTACACAGTGGTAAACACGGTGTTGTCCCAATGAATTTTATTAGTTTAAATATCTGATATTTTCTCTTTCTTCTGATTTTATTTTATTTTTTTTATTTATTACACTTGTTACGACCCGTCTAGGGCCAGGCAATAACATGACTGAGGCACTCGCTTCCTCCCCAAGACCCAAGCAGCCACAGCAAACAAATCCGTTTGTTATAATGTGATTTATTTACAATGTGGAAAAAAGGAACAACAAAACGGGAGTGTCAACACTTCAGGGTGAGCCAAGGCCAAAACAATAAACAAAACAAATCTACACAAATCCCACACCCCTGCCCTTACCAAAACAAAGTCCAAAAAATAAAGACAGAGTCTGACCTCCTTAACTAATTCAAAACAGGAGAAAACGGGTGATCAAAAGAAACGGCAGCTCACCCCTACCCACTCCACTTCCACAACTTCTAAGCCGCACTGCAGCCAGCGGCTGCCACAGGTACACTGCTGGATCATGAGGAGAAACGCAAGGACCTCTCCCGCCGTAGCACTCCAGTCTCCTTTTAATGGGCGGGTCCTCCAGCTGGGACCAGTCACGTCAGGGCGGTGTATCCACGCACCAATCGGAGCAGGGCCCTGGCACAGCTGAATTAACATAAAAAGATACATCACCTGCACAAAACAAACACATGAACATGCAAGTTCGTAACACACTTTTGATTATTTTACAATTTTAGCATCTCAGTTTTTTGTGTCATACTTCTTCAGGGCACCATAATCATGGCTACACTTGACTCGGTCCTACATGATGAGTCAATGTGGGAAACTCCACACTCTTTCAACCCCGAACACTTTCTGGACCAGGATGGTAAATTTCGCAAGAGAGAGGCCTTCCTTCCATTTTCTGCAGGTTAGTTGGAAGTCAAAACCTTTTCTATTCTAAAAAGAGCAAAATGAAAAACCCATACTATGTCTTTCCTTGTAATCATCTTGCCACCACAATGTCTTTGTTTGTGCAATATTAATCTGTGATAAAAGTGACTATTTTATCTAACATAATAAAACTGTATGCTGTGTATTCTCAGGTAAGCGTGTGTGTATTGGGGAACAGCTGGCCAGGATGGAGTTATTCCTGTTCTTTGCCTCCCTCCTTCAGAGGTTTTCATTCTCTGCACCTGCTGGAGAGCGGCCCAGTCTGCAGTTCCAGCTGGGAGGGACTCGCTGTCCCCAACCTTACCGCCTCTGTGCTGTAACACGTTAAACCAGCAACTATGACAAAGTGAAAATGCCTGATTCTCAGCTTGATCAATCACTGTTTTATCACATTTATTATCTAATACAGTATCTACCCCTCTGTATTTTTCATATCTCATTAGTGTATGTAAAATGGGATTTGTCATTTTTGTTCTTGTCAGCCGGTATACCAGTTTTGATAAACTTTTACACAGTGAATCTTTTATATTCAAGTATACATTTTAATGTTAAACCAGCTAAAACTGAGATTAGTTTATCCTTTCATTCTGACATTAAAGCAAGTGAAAGCATGGACTGAGTCCCTTTGCTGGCTAACAATTTCATAGTATATGATACCTGCCTGTTCATTGCTTTTACAATTCTGAATTCTGTCATGTTATGAGGAGAAAAGCTTGTTTCAAAGAAAACATTATAAAAAATTCCACTTTATTTGAAGGCTTATAGAATACTTGACCTTAAACAAATACTAACTCTGAAAATTTGTCTCTTCTGAAGCTTGACTTTTCATATCTCTATACATCAGCATGTACCCAGTCAAAGTTTTTTGTTTTACCTGAAGTGTGTTTGAAGTGAGAAAAATCTAGGGTGGCAAGGGATTCTTGAATAAAAGTGTTATTGCCACATTTTAGAAATACTTCTCAAAACCAATAATTTAAGCTGTATAAAAATGAGCAGCAGGTGTGCCATGATGGTTGCAGTACCAAAAGAGTATCGAATGCAGGGTATAAAGGACTTGATTTGCTGTGGGGAGTGTTTGGGTGCAACTGGGCATCCAAATTGACACCATTAAGTTTAGGATTTTGGTGCAAGAAAGACCTCTGTACCTCGGGAGTATTGCTTCTGTTATTAGCTCAATAAGATGCAATACTTGAATGATCCTTTAGAAATTTGGAGTTCAGATTTTATAATTAGTTTTAAGATTTTATTGTGGACTTTTAAAGCCCTCTCTGAGCTTCCACCAAAGTGTATTTTAATCTGACATCGTACCTGGTCATAAGGTCCTCAGCCAAAGCTCTGCTGGTCGTCCTATATTTTAGGTGAGAAACGATGTTACCGGGCTTTGTCTGTCATGGAGCTGACAGCGAGATCACTTTTATCTTTTAAATCCCTCTTAAAGACAGATTTTTATAACCAGGCTTTTTCACGAGTTATTTTTATCATTTCTGTGTTTTGAGTTTTGAGTTATTTCTAAGGGGCAGCACGGTGGCACGGTGGTTAGCACTGTTGCCGCACAGCAAGAAGGTCCTGAGTTCAATTCCAACATCAGGCCGGGGTCTTTCTGTGTGGAGTTTGCATGTTCTCCCCGTGTTTGCGTGGGTTCCCTCCGGGTACTCCGGCTTCCTCCCACCGTCCAAAGACATGCAGCTTGTGGGGATAGGTTAATTGGATAATCCAAATTGTCACTAGGTGTGAATGTGCGAATGAATGTGAGTGCGAATGGTTGTCTGTCCCTGTGTGTTGGCCCTGCGACAGACTGGCGACCTGTCCAGGGTGTACCCTGCCTCTCGCCCTATGACAGCTGGGATAGGCTCCAGCGCCCCCCGTGACCCTGAAAAGGATAAGCGGAAGCGAATGGATGGATGGATGGATTGGATGGATTTTTTATGTGTCTTTTTCGCTTATAACTTTTTCATTTTTTGTTTTAATTTGATCATTTAATGAACCTTTTAATTTATGCTGTCAGCATTCCTGTACATGGAAAAAGCCAAACTAAGGTCCTTTCCACCAGTTGGAGACAAGCTAACAAAAAAAAGGAATGGTAGCCAAGTAGTACAAAACCCAGGGTGGTGATCATGAACATTTCTTTTATTTACAAAGAGCAGGATTGCAGGATTGCTCTCCCCCCGCTTCAGGACACCTACACCAGGAGATGCCGGACTAGAGCAGCGCAGATACTGAAGGACCCGTCCCATCCTGGCAACAAACTGTTCCAACTTCTGCAATCTGGTAGAAGGTTCCGCATCATCCGGGCAAGGACAGAGAGACTCAAGAGAGCTTCTATCCCCAAGCCATCCGTGCCCTAAACACACACACCCGCCCTCTCACATCATCTATAATTGACTGAGACAGGACTCTTCCAGACACTAAACCAAGGCACAATGTACATTTCAATTCCTTTAATTTTAAATATGTTTATATTGTCTATCCTGTAAAATAGTCAGATGTCTATTCATATTAATGTACAGAATTCACCTGCTTGCTGCTACTACTGCACATTCACCCAATGTATATATAATATATATATATATATATATATATATATATATATATATGTATCATACTATATATATATATATATATATAATTGTAGCATATGTGTATATATAGTATATATTGCATATATTATATATAATGTCGTCCCCCCCACCATCTTCGATGTCGAGGAGCGTGTCAGGCTACATTTCGCTGTGTGTTATACTTGTATAACTATGCATGTGACAAATAAAGAACCTTGAACCTTGAACCTAAAAACAAGCCCAGGCCTTAAAAAACAACAACCAGAGATAGTCCAACATTATACACATAGGTGGAACAGTCTTAACACAAAGGTTCTAGGATTATGTCAGTAATAACCGGTTATGTCTCACTGAGAACGGCTTTTATTGGATTTAACGCCTCCTCTACATCTGGAACAGGTTCCACAAACAATTATTTCCTTCTGCCCTTGAATATTTTAATATTTTATGGCTATCACTGAATTCTCAACACATCAATAAACAGAGGCACACCATTTGGGAGCATTCATGCATCTATAGTTAGGCAGTATACTGTATACTGCTACCTTGGAATATTATATAATGTGTATAAGTAGTACTGTTATTTCTAGTATTGTATTTCTCTGGGTCTCTTTCACAGCATGTCTTTGTCCTGTGTTCATCCCCTCAGCGGTCATGGCAGACGACCATCCCTCATGCTCGTTGACTGTCATTGAAAGGACTTAAATTGTGTAAATAAAGAAACGAAACTCAGCTGTGTTCTTGGAAGCTGTATATTTTGTTTGTTTTTTGGCCCGTCCATGGTTGTGAAATGGTATGAAGTAATTGGACGTTGTTTACATACTGTATTTTTTCTTTAAAAAGTGGGTAGGCTGTGCTAGTGGCTTATATTTCTTTGTTTCACGCAGGAAATAAACACTTTTCGCTCAAACACTGATATTGACACTGGTGAAGTAATCTGTAATTAATTCGTGTAATAATGTTGCACATGCGAAAAAACAACCCCTCCATTATCAGCTTTTATTTTGAAGTCCAGATGCGCGAACACGAGTCTTTCCTTCACCTTTGTGTTTAAGGAAGTCCACCCATTTGTCTGATCGCACTTTGTTTCGTGGTAGCAGCACAGTTAAAACACTGCAGTAATCCAGCATTCAACATTAAGAACTTTAAATGGAGACATTATACAGTGTTCTTGGCTTTGAGTGGATAGATGGAAGGAGCATTTTAATATTTCTCTGTGTTTTCCTGCTGTTGAATAATATTTGGCAGAACAGAGTGCCGAAGAACTTCCCACCTGGACCGTGGGCTCTCCCGCTTCTCGGTGACATTCATCGCATCAGACCTGACAGAATACACCTGCAGTTCAGAGAGGTACGAGCCCTGGGCTTCATTCTTATCTTTGTCTAATCAAACAAGACACACTCAAAGAATGCAAACCTCATTCTCTGGGTAGTATTTACTTTGAAGTGAATATTATTTTATTTTTACCATATTGATTTTTTTTGTTTTGGTCTTTTTAAAAGTACAGTAACGTTCACATGTGCTCTCAAGCACCAGACGTTTTGATCTCACCACGGTTGTATATAGGTACAGGAACACGGGCGTTCACCCCATGGAGGGTCACCGCTCCTCTCCAGCTCCGAAAAACAACAACCAGAAACCCTTCCCACACACTCATTGGCTTTTCCTGCAGCACAACCAAACATCTCTCTTAAAGAAACAAAAGTGCATAGAGATAGTCAATAAGGTTGTCCGTTACAGTACTTACTGTAAGATGCAAGTGCAGATGGTAGTGCAGTAAAAATCAGATGAAGGTAGCATGGCAGAGACTTACTTTAATTACACAAACATTATGTAGGAGTAGGTAATGGAAAATAGGTATTGATTTTTGAAGAACTGCATATAATAATAAGCTTATTATGCAATATAAAACAACATTATGTTTCTAACTAACCATTCTCTTTCTCTTGATAAAACTTTTGTTAAAGATATAACACATTTTAGGGTCAAACTGAAAGGAAGACAGATGTAAAATCTAAAAGTGAGATCAGAGGTCAAATATGACAAGATATTTAGATTCAGATGTTAAAAATACATTTTATAATTGCGCTATCATGTTCACAAGCAGTGTATAATTGGATGTAATAGTTACTAAAATGACCTTTTACCTTTTTGAGGTAAAGCACAACAAGTTCGGGCAAGCCCTTATTTAAAACTCTTGCAATCATTGACTCAGTGAACTTTATCTAAAGTTGCCTTTATTCACACAAGAGAGAAGCTTGGGTTCTACGAGATATAATATTAGTGAGGCAGCATTGCTCAATATTCTATTATCTGCAGTCACTACGGATGTAGAAGCAGTATTTATTCTCTGAGTACTGTTGAATCACAACATCTACCTGCTGTCTTTGTTCAGTTTGTAGAGAAATATGGAAACATTTTCACCATCAGAATCTTTGGTGGAAGAACCGTGGTCATTAATAGCTACAAGTTTGTGAAAGAAGCCCTGGTCCAACAAGGAGACGACTTAATAGATCGTCCCACCGTACCACTGTTTGAAGATTTATTTGGGAATGAAGGTTCTCTTTTTCTCTTTTTCATTAAAAAAATATATATAGTTAGTGTTTAATACAGCCAAATCAGGGCTGTAAGCGAATGCTTGTTACATTCAGTGTAATTCGGTGTATTTGTGTGTTCAAAGGTCTTGTGATATCAAATGGTTACCCATGGAAGCAGCAGAGGAGATTTGCTCTTCATACACTCAGAAACTTTGGTCTGGGCAAGAAGAACCTGGAGTTATACATCCAGCAGGAGTGCCAGTATCTCTCAGAGGCTTTCACAGAACACCAAGGCATAAAAAACATCTGTGCTATTTTACTGTGAAAGAAATTGCATTTAAAGATCACCACCTTTCTCTGTGATAGAGCTGAAGTTATGAGGCTGATTGGTACAATTCAATAGAGTTTGCTTGCTTTGTTATGACACGGGGTCCTTCTACCCCGCATTTTCTGTCTTCTTTTGCAGGAAAGCCATTTAATGTCCAGCTACTGATAAATAATGCTGTGTCAAATATCATCTGCTGTTTGGTGTTTGGGAATCGATTTGAGTACACTGATCAGCAGTACCAGTCTATTCTTCATAATTTCAATGAAGTTATGCGCTTACAGGGAAGCATGTCGACACAGGTGAACCTCTTCCTACCGTGCTACATCATGCAATAATCATATTACATCATGATTTACAGAAAATACACAAGTTGCATTTTAGCGTCTTAAATAAATGTACTTTAATAATCTACTGTAAAATGACAACTTTCTTAAGTCAATTTCAGTTTTAGTGGAGTGTGCATCCCAGAGTTATGTTTTTGGGAGAACAGTCTCCTGTCAAAATTTCTAATTCCAAATCAGTTGTGAGGAGCCAAAACAAAGACTGACTTAAAACACACTAAAGGGCAGAGATGAGGTAACTAAGGCCTGGGAAATATAAAGCCCACAGAGATAAACAAAATCTCAGAGAATCAGCCTTCCTGACCTCAACCTATCTCATCAAAACAAAAAACAAACAAATGTTTGCTGAATTTGCCCTCAAATATTTTTCCCTCTGGTTTATATTTCTACCATCAGCTTTGCCGCTGTGGGAATCTCTGTTAGATTTTAATCCAGAATTCTTTGAATGCACAGCCTCATATGTAGCGCACACAGACATATGAATGTTTATTCAGTCATTAAAATATGGTTTATTCTATCTTCCTTTTGTGTAGATGTACAACATAATTCCCTGGCTGATGAAGTGGCTACCTGGACCTCATAAGACAATGTTCACTCTGACACAAGTGATAAAGGACTTCATAGATATCAGGATCAAAGACCACAAAGAAACCCTTGACCCAGCGTCACCGAGAGACTATATTGATGCTTTTCTTATAGAAATGGCAAAGGTGAGTGTTGTGCTCGATCTCCATCATGTTTGTTCATTTTGGTCTTGTAATGCAAACTGAAATATAAGATATTTTAATTTCTGCTGCTTGGACCGTTGATAGAACGAGGAGAACGAGGAGAACGATTCAAGTTTTTCTCTCAGTACCTTACACGCTTGCACCATGGACCTGTTTTTTGCTGGAACTGAAACTACTACCACTACTTTACGTTGGGGGTTGCTTTACATGATCTACTACCCTGATATACAAGGTATGTATGCAGTGTTGGGGAGTAACAGAATACATGTACCGCCGTTACGTAATTAAAATACAAAATATGAGTAACTGTATTCCGTTACAGTCACCTTTTAAAAAGGTGGTATTCAGAATACAGTTACTTTGTTGAAATAAAGGGATTACACGGTGATCTTTTCCTGTTTCATATTTTAGGCTATGCTCTCTCTATTTTTGGTAATTCCACGCTGGTGGAAACCCAAACAAGACATGCATTAAGAGGCTCAAATGCCTGTGTCTCAATTTCGTGTCTCATAATGACGTGAAGAAATATTTTTAAAAATGATTCAAATGAAGGCAACAGGCAAAGCGTTACAGGCATTGCCCTAAAGAATGTAGCCTAATGGGCACTGTAGTCCGTGCTGCAGGGAGAACGGACTGCCATACCCGTTATCGTCTGTGAGCACGAGGGAGGGACAAAAAGGAAAGTCGAAAAGTGCGAATTGTCACCGACCAGAAACGGGAGATGGAATCATGTAAATATAATAATACCCACTGCAGCCAAAAAGAGTGCCTGACGAGCCCAGTTGTAAGTAAGCTATTAAGACTCCACTGTACACTGTGTTTGTGTTTTCCTCTGAAACAATAAGTTCAGTTGGAGCAGCCTTTCAACACCTTTCTCTGTCTCTCGCTAGCAAAGTTGACCCAGACAACAGAGTAAAGCTAGTTTTCAGCTACGAGCCCGACACGGAACCCGACTTATTAGCCAGAAGTTCCTTTACTACAGTTCACAGCCGCAAACCTGTTTTATATACATGCAAAATAGTTTTCTATACGAGATCGCTGCAAAAAGCGCAGCCTTACCTAATGTCCACCTACTGTTACTCATTAAGTGTGCCTATGCCAAAAGGCACACTTATTACTATTGCTCGGATTTATTATTATTATTTTCCTTTTTCCGCCTGAAATTTTGGACCGTAACTCATCCCACAGTTTTGACACAAGCTTCATAAATGTTATATCATTTTGTGCGGCTGGATCAGGAATGAGTAGCTATGACTTTTGGTGTTTATTACTTGTATAGTTTTTTAAGTATGAATATTTTAATGCAAGTTTTTGCCCATTCAAATGAATGGGAACAAACGAAAGTGAAACTTAACTTACTTTGTGGTGTGTTTGCTCACTCACTTAATTTGTGGTGTGTTGGCTCACTCTAGTGGTATTCCTCTTATTTGTGTTTCTAGGTCACAAAGTAAACTTTTAAGATATTTTCAGGTGAGAATGTAGGTGTGTAAACGTCAAATATCTGCTCGTTTTGTCAAAACATCCCATATTAGCAACAGATTTTTCACATGTTGCTGCTAGCCGGCTAGCTAGTTCGGCCGGCCGGCTAGCTAGCTCGGCCGATGATGCTGGTCGATGTGGAAAAAATAACTGAGTTGTTCATATACCGGTGGCTAGCTAGCTCCGCGTTAGCCACCGGTATATGTCTCTTCCCCTCGTATGCGGGGAAAGAAACACCGATCGACCGGTGGTGGCTAACGCGGAGCTCAATCGTGGATAAGGGAAACCCAATGCAGGAGAAGCAGGCGGCTGGTGAACTGAATTTCAGGTAAGACGTTATTAACTGCACTCTATTTGGGTCAGATATAAACCGAGTTTAGGTGTAGTTTATTTTCGTTGTGCTGACAGTTACAATAACTGTACTGCGTGCTAGCTAGCACGACGGAGTTTCTATACAGCTGTGCGCGCTAAGTTACTGATGTTGAACTTTATGACAGCCTCCCCTATTTTCAGGCGAGAATGTAGGGGTGTAAACTTCAAATATCTGCTCGTTTTATCAAGAAGTCCCATATTTTATCAAGAAGTCCCATATCTCTCACGATGTTACTGCTAGCGCCACATGGCAGCTAGCTGGCTAGGGCGACTTGGCTGACACCCAGGCCGGGCTGACTGATACCCAGGCCGGCTCACGCTCTCGTTTCACCGCCGCATGGCGGCTAGCTGGCTAGCGCGGCTTGGCTGCCACCCAGGTCGGGCTGGCTGACACCCAGGCTGGGCTGGCTGACACCCAGGCCCGCTCACGCTGTCGTGTCACCCCTAGTCTTTCATGATGACTCTTGGTTGGCTGCTGGACTTTATATGGGCTGGTGATTCAGTATGAGTGTCCGGTGAACTGAATGTCAGGTAAGACGTTATGTATATGTAAGGTAGTGACTGGAATAAGTCACAAGGTGTCGCTGTTGAGCTGCATATATGTTGTAAATTTTAGCAATTTTGACCATTTGTCCTCTGCAGGACACCATAGTTCAGATTTCTCGTTCGCGTGGGCGCCATCTTGGTTCAGTGTTTACTGTGATGTGCAAAGGTAAGCACTGTCAGTGGCGAACTGCATTGGTTTTGTTTAAAAATAAGTGTTCCACTGTGTAAAATAGCGGTTTGTCATTTAAGCCGAGCATATATTTTGTTTATTGAGAGGTTCATGTATTGTCTGATGAGAGTATGAGACAAAGATATACTTTTCTTTCTTACTCTCATATAAAATATTTAGCTTTTATTAAATAGTTATCTGAATCTTACAACCAAAGTTTGTATAATAATACACAAGATTGGCTGTAGACCATTGTTAATCATTCAGAACACTGTGTAAAAATAACAAAAAACAAAAAGTGAATGAAAAGTGCATAAATATTTATTTTACGTGTTTGATGTGTGTGGCAGGGCGTGGTCTGCAGTGCCGCTGCAGGGGAGGTGGACCCACCTCAGCGGCATCTGCAATCACGCCTCTCAGGTGTAAAGTCTGTGCTCTCTCTGCTTTTTTTTTTTTTTTTTTTTTTTGTGTATGTGTCGGGCTGTGAGATGAAAAGCTACAGCCGGCTGTGTGGGTACAGCAACTATGTGTGAAAAGTGGTCCATAACGTAATGCTTCAAAGTGTGTTCATGCAAACATTGTCGGGTCTGCTTATGAACCTCTGCGCACAGCGTCTCAAATTGGGGCTGTACGAAGTCACCTCATCTTTACACAAAACTGTAAGCTGTCATCTGTGAGGCGCGAGCGGTGTTTGGTTTTACCATAGTTATGGTGGAGAATGGCTGCTCTGCTGAGTTTTGCTCTCTGTAGCCGTTTGAATGGCAAACTATACTGATTAGCGGCGGCATAGGCACACTTAAAATTTCTTCAGAAATTTTCGCTTTCTAGTTTAACATTATCTGTCTTTTTATCTTCCTGTAATAGTAAGTGAAATTGTATCATCACAGCGAATAGGACATTCATGTACAGTGGGGCAAAAAAGTATTTAGTCAGCCACCGATTGTGCAAGTTCCCCCACCTAAAATGATGACAGAGGTCAGTAATTTGCACCAGAGGTACACTTCAACTGTGAGAGACAGAATGTGAAAAAAAAATCCATGAATCCACATGGTAGGATTTGTAAAGAATTTATTCGTAAATCAGGGTGGAAAATAAGTATTTGGTCAATAACAAAAATACAACTCAATACTTTGTAACATAACCTTTGTTGGCAATAACAGAGGTCAAACGTTTACTATAGGTCTTTACCAGGTTTGCACACACAGTAGCTGGTATTTTGGCCCATTCCTCCATGCAGATCTTCTCGAGAGCAGTGATGTTTTGGGGCTGTCGCCGAGCAACACGGACTTTCAACTCCCGCCACAGATTTTCTATGGGGTTGAGGTCTGGAGACTGGCTAGGCCACTCCAGGACTTTCAAATGCTTCTTACGGAGCCACTCCTTTGTTGCCCGGGCGGTGTGTTTTGGATCATTGTCATGTTGGAAGACCCAGCCTCGTTTCATCTTCAAAGTTCTCACTGATGGAAGGAGGTTTTGGCTCAAAATCTCACGATACATGGCCCCATTCATTCTGTCCTTAACACGGATCAGTCGTCCTGTCCCCTTGGCAGAAAAACAGCCCCATAGCATGATGTTTCCACCCCCATGCTTCACAGTAGGTATGGTGTTCTTGGGATGCAACTCAGTATTCTTCTTCCTCCAAACACGACGAGTTGAGTTTATACCAAAAAGTTCTACTTTGGTTTCATCTGACCACATGACATTCTCCCAATCCTCTGCTGTATCATCCATGTGCTCTCTGGCAAACTTCAGACGGGCCTGGACATGCACTGGCTTCAGCAGCGGAACACGTCTGGCACTGCGGGATTTGATTCCCTGCCGTTGTAGTGTGTTACTGATGGTGACCTTTGTTACTTTGGTCCCAGCTCTCTGCAGGTCATTCACCAGGTCCCCCCGTGTGGTTCTGGGATCTTTGCTCACCGTTCTCATGATCATTTTGACCCCACGGGATGAGATCTTGCGTGGAGCCCCAGATCGAGGGAGATTATCAGTGGTCTTGTATGTCTTCCATTTTCTGATGATTGCTCCCACAGTTGATTTTTTCACACCAAGCTGCTTGCCTATTGTAGATTCACTCTTCCCAGTCTGGTGCAGGTCTACAATACTTTTCCTGGTGTCCTTCGAAAGCTCTTTGGTCTTGGCCATGGCGGAGTTTGGAGTCTGACTGTTTGAGGCTGTGGACAGGTGTCTTTTATACAGATGATGAGTTCAAACAGGTGCCATTCATACAGGTAACGAGTGGGGGACAGAAAAGCTTCTTACAGAAGACGTTACAGGTCTGTGAGAGCCAGAGATTTTCCTTGTTTGAGGTGACCAAATACTTATTTTCCACCCTAATTTACGAATAAATTCTTTACAAATCCTACCATGTGAATTCATGGATTTTTTTTTCACATTCTGTCTCTCACAGTTGAAGTGTACCTCTGGTGCAAATTACTGACCTCTGTCATCATTTTAGGTGGGGGAACTTGCACAATCGGTGGCTGACTAAATACTTTTTTGCCCCACTGAAGTTGTAAAAAAGCATGGTAATATATTAAGCAATCCAAAGTATTCAGAATACGTTACTCTCATTGAGTAACGTAATTGAATACGTAATAAAATACATTTTGGGGCATGTATTCTGTAATCTGTAGTGGAATACATTTTAAAAGTAACCTTCCCAACACTGTATGTATGTAATACTCAACCGTATTGTGTATTTTGTCACATCAGTCTTGTAGTGGTAAATGAACTGATTCACCCATTCACACAAACACTTTTTTTTCTATGCTTATTGGTGCTTTCTAACTAAAATTCATACACAGTCATTGGAGAGCAACTTGGGGTTAGTATCTTGCCCAAGGATACTTAGCGTGCAGACTCGGGCAGCCAGAAATCGAACCACCAACCTTCCAATCACCAGATGACAATCTTGTAATTTTGGGGGCATTTTTTGCATGCTTCAAATTTTTGTTTTGAGTTTGGATTCCATTAATTTCCAGAGTAGATCTAATTCTTTAACTTAGTTATTGTTTCCCAAAATGTGCAATTTCGTTCTTTTTTAATTTTTTTTAATAAAAGGGAAGTAGTTATCAGAAAACAAAAAGTCCAGCATATGTATTAAATATACAATATAAAAACAGCATTTTGTAAAGATTGACATTTATTTTGACTTTCCACCTTTTAATAGATATATGTTCGAATGTCTCGTTGCTTGTTGTGTTGACAAAAGTTAACAAATTCATTCAATGTCTTGTTCATGTTTCTATTTATATTTAGTAGTTTAATAAGTAGTCTAATAATCCAATATTGGTATTAATGACTTGGAATGTCTTTTTTTACACTCACTTTTAGTTTCTCACTTAGTGTTAGGTAACTGTAATAACCTTGATACAGACTCTGATTGTGTCCTGTTTTCACTGTGCAGAGAGAGTTCAAGCTGAGATCGATGCTGTGGTCGGTTCGTCCAGACAGCCCTCTGTGAGTGACCGAGAAAACATGCCCTATACTGATGCTGTCATTCATGAGATTCAGAGAATGGCCAACATCATTCCTCTCAATGTGCTTCGTATGACAAACAAGGAAACTACAGTGGATAAATACACAATCCCAAAGGTACAGTTTAGCTGTTGAATAAAGTATTCCTTGTCCACCAATTCAGCCACTTGAGGCTGGCTTCAAAGGTCTTCAAAAGCAGTTTAGCCTATGACTGAGGGCAAAATTCCCCTTTAATAAAATGGAATTTCAATTACTTTTACTTGAAATTGAACTGCAATTACATTTACCGACAAATACTTAAAGGTATATACACTAGAATAAGGCGGTAACTAAAAAAGGAAATAATTAAAAAAAAATACTGTAAGTATATTTCAGTACACAGTGATGTTTTGGTAAAATTTATCCTTTTCATAATAACACTCATCTCCCCAAAAATAAAATGCATTTATGATGTAAGATGGGGAAATATTGTTTGGTTTTCCTCAAAATTGTTAAGAAATTTTGTAGTCCTAAAAATTACTTATGTAATACTTTACTTTCTGTTAACCTTTATGAGTACCAATTTAGATGTTTTGTTTGTTAGTTTGTCTTTCAATTTTAGTATCTCGATTCGTATGATTATTTTGTGCAGGGTACCATGATCGTGGCTACTCTGGACTCAGTCTTACATGATGAGTCAGTGTGGGAAACTCCACACTCTTTCAACCCTCAACACTTTCTGGACAAGGATGGTAAATTTCGCAAGAGAGATGCTTTCCTTCCATTTTCTGCAGGTATGTTGTACATTAAAGCCTCTTGTACTGATTTAGCCAAATGGCATGCATCCTTAGTTTGTTGCAGAAGTGTAGTAAACTCTGCAATATAGTGAATGTCTTGTAAATTGTTTGAATAAAACCCATTTCCTATTGTTTATTCTCAGGTAAGCGTGTGTGTCTTGGAGAACAGCTGGCCAGGATGGAGTTGTTTTTGTTTTTCACCTCCCTCCTTCAAAGGTTTTCTCTTTCGCCACCTGCTGGAGAGCAGCCCAGTCTGGAGTTCCAGTTGGGGGGCACACGCTGCCCTAAACCTCACCGCCTCTGTGCTGTACCGCGTTAAGCCATCAGCTATGACAAACTGAAAACATCTGTTTTACATCGCATTATCTATATCTGCTAAATAATTTCACTTTACAGCATGAGTATCTTATAATTTGTATTTTTTCTTCTTCTTCTCACCATGGAGACCTTTTCACTGAACCATTCAGTCTACTGTATTCAACAAGTAAAAGTGTAAAGGTTTACAATATTAAACTACAACTTTTTAAGAGATCTCATTTGACTGCCTATGCATAGAGTAGAGTTCTCTTTTTTCACCTACGTACCCTACTGCGTAGTACCTTCACTGTTTTTCTTTACGGTACCTGTTCTGACCTGGGCTTCATCATCAAGCAAAAGTTAACAATGACTTCTTCTTTTTTTCTGTTTGCTTTGATGGTGACAAATTTTTGAAGGTGTTCTGCTAAAAGTGTTAACCCATCTCTTAGATTTCCCAATTTCTTTAAGAACATAACAAATCACTTTTTATTCTACAGTAGACTCTATATGATGTAACCTAATGAGCAGGTTGCTTGAATTTGTAAAATTTGTAAAAAGCAGGTTGCTTTTTCAAGCAACTTAAAGAAGTCCAGACGCTTTTCTTTGCAAGCTCCTTTGACTAATGAGCAGGTTGATTACCAACAATCTCTTGTCACTCTTAAAAAAAGGGCCTTTAAAATTCCCAAACTGTTTTGAGAAGTATATAAGTTTATGTTTATTTGGATATCAAAGGGATGCAGACAAGCCATGTAAAGTAGGTGGTGACACCACTCATACTTTTCAATTAGTATGAGTGTTTTTATTTTTCATACCACTGCTTGTTATAAAATGCACAATGTCATAAATAAATGGACTTTCTACATATGCTTGCCTTTTTCATTATGAACTTGTATGAGCGGTGTCACTTTTAGTGTTTGCCTTGGCAGAGGGAAGTAATGGACTGACAGCTATCACTGACAGATTGTAATCACCCTACCTACAGATTGTAATCACCCTACCTCAATTGTTAAATAAAGTTATGTGGAAACATCTGGACTGATGCATTTATGTTTAAAGAAAATATTTTAACCATAATTTTCAAGCCTGTAGGTTGGAGTCATTGTCTTAACACTGTGTAGAAATATAACGGTGCTTGGTGCTGTTTGTGGTTCAGTGCTAGCTGCTTTAAACTTTCTTATGCATTTGTTTGGCAAGTGAAAGGTTGTTGGTTCAGTTTGAGCAAGAGACAGAAAGCCCCTTTAGGGATGCTTCAGAAAGAATATCTGATGTTAAACGCTCTCAAACATGGAGCTTCTACTGTGGTGAGCCTTTGTGACAAGAGAGTAGATAAAAAAAAAAACAGCTTCCTTAAAGATGCAAAATATTCCACAAACTGCTGTCAGTTTAAATTTTAAAAAAATATTCCACTCAACAGATTTCTAGGAAAACAGTCTGCTTCCATGACCAACTGCCTTAAGTTTTTCTGTCGCAATCTGCACATGGAGAGCGGTGAGGACCCAAATGCAGACAACTGGAAGGCGAAAGTAAGCGTTAACAATCAGCAAGCCATTTATTTTAGGCAGTACGAGACTGAAAACAAAAGCCAAAAGGAAACTACAAAACTAAACACTAAATCCTAGGAACAGATTCTTGTTCAACATCACTCACGCCCTGTGGCTGCATTTGGATCCTCCTCTTTCCACTGCCATTGCAGATCGTGACACTTTAACTTTGTATGCAAAGCAAATTTTGAAAAATTTATAGTCTTACACTTGAGGTGTTCTTTATCTTTACCTTCAATGTCTCTGTCCAGAAAAAATCAGTTTCCAGGAACATCTACTGAAGCTGAACACATCTGGTTAAACCATCTTTCAGCAAGCGAAGATTTCACTACGCTACTATCAGCTTTCAAAGAGCAATCTGTGTTACTGTATGTTCCTGTGTTCCACTTCCACTCATCTATGATGTGATGGATTTTGATGAGAATCTAAAAATTCCACCAACTGCTGTAACTGCAACATATTCTGTTTGCTACACACATTTTTACAAAGAAACTAAGTGCATGAAATAAAGTGATTTACATATGCAGATTCTGCATGATTTAAATAGGGGATATTTTATTTTACACCCTCTTAAGAAAAGTCATAAATATTATAAAGTCATAAATATTCTTTGGAAGGAACCCCTTCCAGCATCCAGCTGCAATGCCCATCATTTGATACTGCATTGCTTTTTGCCCACTGCCCCCCACACCTGATGCAGGTGGCTACAGCAAGAGAGAAGGGTGGTGCAGCAAGAAGGCAAAAGTACACTGCGGACATTTGCTGCATGCATTTGGGACAAGGCAGTATTGAACGTAAATGAGATATTCCCCGTTGTAGTGGCGCAGTTAAGGCAGCTCTCACACATGCAGTATTTACTTGCTTGTGTTTCTCGCTTGTACAGATGTGAACACCTTAATCGCGGTTCGGACCTGCGGACCAAAACCACCACACCGAGACTATTTGGAGGTTCTAAACAGACGTGATCCGAGCCAACTACCTGGTGTACGCTGCAATTTGGAGCTAAACGCTTTCCAGAAGCCGTAAAGGCTTTACATTCCGGGGTGCGGTAGGATACGGTATACGTACAGAGTTCAAACTGTCACTTGAGACTACCGACTAACCATAAAGTTTATGTAACCCATTTCTGACTCATCTGACCAGCTGACTAAACATTCTCACGTGGTCTGTAATGACTTGTTCAACAGGAAAGCTACAGGTCGTCACAAAAAAGTGAAGACATGGAGACAGTATACAGTGTCCTCGGGTTGGAGTGGATAGACTTCAGCAGCATTTTGTTATTCCTGTGTGTTTTTTTGCTCCTGGCTGATTTTTTGAAGAACAGAGTGCCGAGAAATTTTCCTCCTGGACCCTGGGCTCTTCCTTTCATCGGCGATCTTCATCGCATCAAACCTGACAGATTTCACCTGCAATTCGCAGAGGTATGACCTAGTTTCACAATTTATTTTCAAACGCTTAGAATTTCACATTAGTTTTACATGGCGAAATGGACCTCCGTCTCTCTAGCTCAGAGACAAAAGGCTTCAAAACCCAGACCGCAGCCATGTGAGCCCTCGGTGTGGAGTTAAAGTTAGCTGCACTGCCAGCTTCCCCTACAATGTTGTTGCGCTTTTCTTACTTATATTATGGTACGGGTGCCGACTGTTTCACTATTTAACTGCTCAATCCACTTCGAGTTTTGAAATATTAGAAATTCATGCATGTGTGTGTGTGTGTGTGTATATATATATATATATATATATATCCCCTTATCCCCAACTAAATAAAATTGCAGTACTACAGTACTGAATGTTTAAAAGTCTATTTTTTCATGTTAACTGTTAGGTGATGCAAATATTTCATTGGATTCTTACTTTGTGGGCCACCCCCACTTTTCCTCCTCTGGCTCACAGCTCAGTGAGCTGTAGTGTTTCACTGAAAATTATAGATGGAGAGATAGATCAATACTGCATTGTTGTGTTACAGCAGCATGATGAAGAGTGAAAATAGTACAGTCTACAAAAAATGTCAAACAAAAATTCCCACCTACCCTCGATACACCAAGTGTAGTGTGATAGGAATTATCTACCTGTTGCAGCATGCTCCACTCCTACAAGGCTGGTAAGCAAACTGAAGAGGGCCGACAGCATGTTTTTTTCAGTGCCTTTAATACCTTCCAAACAGTTCTGCGGAGAGGCAAGCTGTTCAGTATGGGTGTCTCCACTTCTACTGTCTTCTGGACTGCAGTGGGTCTATGCCCATCAACATCATGGTTGTGGAGGTTGAAACGGACAGATACTGGTACTTTCACCTGAATGACAGATTGGACTGGAGGACCAGCAGTGATGCTGTGTACAAGTAGGGACAGCATCAGTGCCAGAGATGCCAAAATGATGAACAAATTAATCTGCAAAGCTGGAAGCAGCACCGCTCAGCATTTGGAGGCATTTCAGTCAGCGAGGGTTAGAGGTCACTGAACAAATTGTTCTCCATGACGGACAGCTCATCACACCTGCTCCATTCCACACTTGGCCCTCGAGGACTGGAACTTGACACCCCTGCTTTAGAGAGAGGAAAAAAACTTTCCCAAAGACCAAGATTTATAGCATTGCTTTCTGATTAGTGGAGTGAGCCTTAAGTTTCTGTACCTTATTGTACCATCTCTAGTGCAATACCCCCACCCAAATTCCTCAGAGAAGCAGCCTCTCCCTATATATCTGTTAGTGTCTGAGTGTAACTACCTAAATCCAAAAGTATTCTACAATACATATCTGTGTGCAGTAAAGGATAAAACATAAATGTATGATATAAAATACGAGGTAATTGTATAACATAAAATAATGGGGATTTACGAGCATTAAAAATAAATAGATTCTAACAGTATACATAAGAATAATATATTTAAACAAATTTACTGCTTAGAGCAACACTTTATTTCCACATTTAAAATTTTATGTTGAAACATAAAGTTTTAGATATTTTATGTTTATGTGACATTTTAGAGGGACTATATGACATTTTTGGGGAAGCCCCTGTGAAAAATATTTACTGAAGTGGAAATAATGGACTTTTCTATGTTCCTTTTATTCCCTGTTATTTTGCAGGTTGACCTGGTTTTTGCCTTTAGCATCCTGACATTTTAATTTCAGAACTGTAATATGTTATTTAAACCCATAAAAACTGAATTATAGATGCCTATCAACCATCTGGCAGTGGGTTAAAATTACCCATTCTTCCCATGTAAACAATATCTGCCTCCTCTTTTTTTCTTTTGCTGGGGCAAGGTCCCTGCAATAATACAACCACAACAACGCCTCTATGAGCAAGCTCTTGGCAATGAGAAAGAAAAATTCCAATTTAACGGGAAGAAATCTCCTGAGGAACCAGGCTTGAGGAGGGGCAACCATGTCCCTCGAACAGCTGGGGGTGAGGGGGGGAGACAGGACAAAAACACAGTGTGCAAGAGATTCCGATTTAATTGATCACTAATTATTAAATGCAAAATGATGTATAAATACACAGTTTTCATATGCACAACATTACCTGTCCACTCTCTGTGTTCAGTTTGCAGAGAAATATGGAAAGATTTTCAGCCTTCGACTCTTTGGTGGAAGACTTGTGGTGCTTAATGGCTACAAACTTTTGAGAGATGTGCTGGTCCAACAAGGAGAAGACTTCATAGATCGGCCCACATTACCCTCATTTGAAAACTTACTTGGAAATAATGGTGTTTTTTTTTGTTTGTTTGTTTTTTGTTCAAAAGAATCTCCCTTATAATTAATGCCCGAACAGCATCAGAACTGCCAAAATAGGGATATTAAGATGTTCTAATTAGTTTCTATTACCTGTGTGTGTGTGTGTGTGTGTGTGTGTGTGTGTGTGTTCAAAGGTCTTCTGATGTCAAATGGGTATCAGTGGAAGCAGCAGAGGAGATTTACTCTTCATACACTCAAAAACTTTGGTCTGGGCAAGAAGACCCTTGAGTTATCCATCCAGCAGGAGTGCCAGTATCTCACAGAAGCTTTTGCAGATCACCAAGGCAAAAAAATATCACACTGTTTTTCTGTTTGATACATATGCATCATTTTGTGTTTCTTCCAACTTTCCAACAGACAAGCATGCATTAAAGCATTAGTGTAATCATCAGACATTGCGAAACATCATTACTCTTGCAGAGCTGAAACAAGCCTTATTCACATTGTACTCTTTATTTTACAGGAAAGCCTTTTAATGCCCAGTCGCTGTTAAACAACGCTGTGTCAAACATCATCTGCTGTTTGGTATTTGGGGATCGATTTGAGTACACTGATGAGCAGTATCAGTCTATTCTTAGTGACTTCATTGAGATGGAACGCCTACAGGGAACCATAGGGACACAGGTAAACCTCTTTTAAACACGTGTCAAGAATACATAAAAATTACAAACATCTCCTTATCGAATCAAATGTATTGTACATCAAATGTACAGCGCCTCTAGAAATAATTTTGCTACTCAGGAGCCATATTTGG